ACCAACTGGGGAAATGGTTTTTCATTCAGGTGATTAGGGTAAGCTACCAGTGGAGTATTTTGGGCATAGCAAAGTTGCTTGGAGCAGCGTTGAATTTACTGCCACTGCGCTATTCATGGTAGCCGGATGTCACGTATGCGCTTCCTGGGTATTTTTGTTGCGTACTGAAGTGATAAAAGAACTGTTTCATCTTCGCAATATTGCACATTAGCTAAGCAATAACTCGAAGTAACCGAAAGAGTCGATTAGTGGGAGCAGGACACGAGTCCGAATCACCCCATCGATGCTGCCTTCAGATGAGTTAATTCTGAATCCGACCATCAGATAGCATCAAGGGGCATGACATAAAAGGAGGGGTGGATATGTTAATCCCCCCTCTACCACCACCAGTTATTTGCCAAAATTTTAACAGGGTTACTCTGAGTTTCCAAGCTGGCAGCCATATTTTATCTACCTGTCCCCATTGTTAATACGGATGGTGTTTATGCCTGTGCTGAAATGATTATGATCCAAATTGAGTCCCTATTCAATATAACCTCAACGAAAATCAAAGCCGTCGAATTAGCACAGATGTTTAGATGTGCCTACTTTACAATTCAAATTTCTTGCTAATGTGTGCAGTTTAACGTAGTTTTCTCCACAGCTTATTTCAGGCGGTATTTGGAGCATAAATTTGCACAATGCACACAATCCCAGTCACAATCCTGATCCCATTACTTAGCATGTAATCTCGACATGTCAACAATTCAAGTTAGAATAACAACTCGTTTTCCAAGTTGGCGAATGAGAGCGCCGTCCTCACATTCAATTGTTCAAGGCCTGTTGGATCTTTCTCAAAGGTCACAAAGGAGGCGAAATGAGTCGAAGTGATTCTGTGATTCTGTCATTTAAAAGAAAACATTATCAAGTGTAGGCTTAAAAAAGACGGTTTGAAGAGAATTATGCATACTTTCTAAGAGGAACTTTATACACTTGCCGACAGAAATGCAGTCACAATCCAAACCATATCAAATTGTACTGGGGGTGGAAAAAGAAGTAAGAATTAATGTGTAACCAAGTATCGGTTTGGGGTACTGTTAAAATTTTAAAATGACAAATCTCGAAATCTGTCCTGCTCTGAGTGTCAAGACAGGCCTATGACTCGGGATCCCCAATTAATATCATCTGCTTCAAGTACGCATTTCTTTGTACCAAACTTGATTAAGAAATGGCAGGTAGTTAGTTTCCTTCTGCCAGCTAAAGACATTGAAGCAGTGATTTTACTAAAATCCTCAGAAAAAATCACTTGTAGAGGGGTATCATGATCGTCATGCATTACTTATAGTGCACAGCGGATAAAATTATCCCCAAATACTTATTTGCAATTGGAGAGTAGGTAGACGCTCGCTTGGCTTCTGCAGGCACAGGGCTGCTTGAGCTACAGATACAATCCACATCAAACGAACCTTTTAATGCTCCTACCATGAAACCCCGATGCCAACTTCAGTGGTTACTTAGGCATTTATTGTCTCAGGCGTCAACCTTACATTATGCCTTAACTATGACCTCAACTGCTAAATCTATTTATTCGCTAATGAAGGTGACCCGGTAGGTATGCCGAGATTGATTTGAGGCAGAAATGTCTAGTCACCACTTTACTATGTAGTCTTTTCTGTAAAAGCTTTTGCGAACATCAGTAATATTTATTTTAGGAGCGTGGATTCAAGACTGAGATTGAGGCTCCGCTGTTGTGCCCTCAACCGGATGGACCAACCCAGGGACTAGCCAGCATCCTATCGTCTGCCAAATAAAAGTATTGTGTCTTCTTTTAGCTCAAAGTGACAGAACTCACAGCTTCTCTTCTGGCGACCACAATAATTTGTGGAAAATAGCACATCATGATCCTTCTATACCAACGTTAACTTTATGCGCATCTTCATCACAGTCGACGATCTCACCAATACGCAGCCAGCAGCATCCACTGACAATGACTAGTTTATGAGAGGATGCGCGATCCTAAAATATTGCGTAAAAATCAAAAACTCAAGACATTTAGCAGCTCGGGTCATTTTTTAAATCCACGAATGCAAGTGTTTATTATTATTGAGTAGTAGGATATAGGGAAAAGTCGAACCATAGTCACACGTGCATTTCCTTCCCAGTAGTCCCTGTTTTGGGATTATTAACGATAACATTGGACCAAAGGCTAACGATAGGAGTGTTTTATCCTGAGTTTATTCACGAGCATCCATCAACATTGGTAGCAGTGAATCCCAATTTCTGTGCCATCGTAAGTACGCATCAGAGCAAGATATTCACGCAGGATGAAAGTTTTCACTATTCTCAACCCAAGCGAAGCTATTTAAATGATGAAGTGCTAATTGTGGTGAAGTTTCGACAATAAGAGTATTGCAATGCAATGTTGAAACGGATACATTGCAGATTTGAAGGAAAATCTGAGAATGAGCCAAGGATAGCGCAATGTGGTAGCAATTGTGCTATCTGTAGTGCCAATTTTGGGACCCACTCACTCCCCATGACACAATACACAAATCATGCTACGCAACTTTTCAAGATTTCACTTCGCCTATCACTTTGAAACATCCGACATGAAGGAAATGGAGTGGTCACCTTAAGGCAAGAAAATATGGTATCTTTGGCTGGTACGTAGGCGGCATTGTGAGAGTGCAAATTAGGCTACATCAAGAGTGAGATAATAACCGACTTTTTAAATTCGAGTTTTTGGACAGCTCGAGCCTGAATGCAAATCATGAGAACCTTTACCCAAAGAATATGAATGGGTTTTTTTGGGAATCATTTTAGCCGGTCTGATTAGGACTCTAATAGCAAACTATTGAAAGAAGCCATTTCCTGAATCGATTTATTTTTTTGGACTCGCCTTCAGCAGATGGTTAGAATAAATTGCAAAGGTAAATGCGATTTTAACTTTCCTTAGTCCTTAAAAATAGGACCTATATATATATCAGTACAGCTAAATGCCACCCATTTGTATCAACATAATATCACTTTCATTCGATGTTAATTTCCAAAACAAGTGGAAAATATGGTGCCGCAAGGATCAATTCGGACGTTGTAGACTTACTGAACTCATCTCATTGAGATTGTGTTTCCAAGGTAAAGCAGACCACAAAGTAGTCTTAACGTGAAGGACGAGTGCAACATCCGTTGCTGGCAATTTCAATAACAATTCCCAGTGGAATCGAAAGCATGCAGACTGATCAATGATTTGCAAGAATATATTTAAAAAAATTGTATAATCAGTCACCTAGCATTCGGCTGCAGACAGTTGAGGTTCGGAAAAGAACTCAGCGGCATCAGTTGTTAGAATTGGTTGAATATTCTTTTGCAACACTGCCAACAGTGTACGTAATTGAAGGACTAGTCCAGATAGTCTGTACGAACCTGCATTCACTGGAAGTAGCAAGTAGAATTGCACGAGGCAAGGACCAGAATCGGTAAAAGGGGAAAGCGAATTGGTCTATCGGGCAAAACGATTAGCCAAAACCCTGTTGCTCTGTACAGAAATAAGAGTGAGCACCCATCACATCTCTTGCATTTAGTAAAATTCTCTTGATCGATTCGAGAAACTGTACAACGCATAAGCACTAGAATCCTCACAGAGCCACGTAACACTAACCCCGATCCTGTGTCAACAATACCCCATACATCTACACAGCAACGAAGGAAGTCATAAGCTTTAAACAGTCTCTTCGTATTAGAAAAAGTGGACGACCACACATACCAAAGTGGAAAAAACAAGGACACGGGTATGACATTTTTAATAAAAAGATAAGACAAATGTTGCACAATGCAGACATTTCCTGCAGCAACTATTACACTAGCTAAATGAAAATAATCACACATGAGGACATCTGAATGGTGGAATAAACAATTCTGTCCCCCTTCCAGAGAGACGGTGATAGTCACTTTATTCAGAAAGACAAACGGTGCGAATGACGAGGCCGTACGCTGCTGTCACAGCTAGAAGGTAAAACTGGAGACGCAGCGTTCTTTGGACTTCCTGGTCATCTCGTCCTTATAGATACTCACCACGGAGATGGACTGTCCAATGGCAACAAGACCAGCGGTGCTATCGTCACAGGTACCACCACCACCAGTGCACATCTCAGCTACAGTACGCATACCATCGCGCACCTGCGAGAAGCCTGCCTTCATAAATTGAGCCACGGCTCCGCTCTGACCCCTCAGACGCGCCACTGACTTGGCAGAACGTTCCTTTAGAGCGACAATCTCTTCTCGAGCGACTCGCACCCGCGCACCTACATCGCGGACCAAGCGGCCTCGAAATTCCTCCAGTCTTTCCCGGAAGGTGACCGCATCATTTGATTTGGCCGCCGCCTGCAGCACTTCCAGTACTTCAGTGTACTCCTGGGCCAACTGCTCATCCTGAAAGATTAATTTCACATCGCGCAGGGCCGCCGAAGTGCGCGTCTCACCATCGTCAGTGAAACGCATGTCCAGGTGATAGCAGTGACAAAACTCTGAGGGAAAACCGTAGTTAAGTACGTTCTCATGAGGGATTCGGCCAACATCGTTTTGGGATTTTCCACCATCGTCGTCACCAATAGCTTCAATGCAGTTTTCCTCATCTTCACTAACTCTTTGGTCCTGCGAAGAACGGCACTCTGCGATGAGCAGAGTAGACGCGTCAACAATGCACTGTCCGCCTTTGTGCCTACACTTCGGAGGTGACTGTGCAGGAATGCCCTTCTCACTATATAGCACATTGAGTTTTGCGAAGGCATGGACTGATAGGCAATATCCACAAAGAAAAGCCGGTTTCATTAAACAGGCAGGACAAATCCGCTGACCAAGCGATATTTCCTTCATAGAGGGAGCCTTGTTAGGCTGTACCGAAGGAACCGGGATAACCCCGATGAGGGGCCGGACGAAAAATTTATGCGACTGCGATTGCCTAAAACAGCGTGTCTCCACCAGATACCGAACACTCCCGATGATGAGACCCAGAATCAGTGTGATTGTCATGACGATGAAACCTAGGATCGTCGTAGTGAGGAAAAGCTGGTCAATGCAGGTACCAATGGTGACAATATAGGGGTGGTTGTCGAGATAATAACCGCCATCTGAGAAGGCTGCACACTGCCACACTCCACTATGGTGACCGCGAGCATAGTCAACATCAGTTACAAAGGAGGTTTGAGAGGTTCTCTCGACAGTGATGCGTACAGGTCTTTGAACAGGCAGAACAACATACTCATATAGTGCGATTCTCGTGACATTTTGGGAGGATCTCCACGAGGGAACTCGAATAAAGCCAATGGGTGAAAAGACACCGAACTCGACAGAATTAGAGGCTTCTACATTGCAAGAAAATTGGAAATTTTCAGCAACTTGAGGGGACAGTGTCAAATTTAAAGTTCTCTTGAATCTCAAGAAGTATGGGCAAGCACTAAGAGTACAAGTAGGACCTGATGTCACGAAGTTTCCCTGACTGTTCAAATAAACATTGGTACAGGTGCAATCCAGAGGATTGTTAGAGATATTTACGGTAAGAATATTTGACGAGAGATCAGGAAAGTTTCTAAATCTGTTCCATGAAATATTAAGATAATGAAGTTGTGGTACATCGACCAAGAATGGCAGATACAAAGCCTCCAGGTTGTTGTAGCTGAGATCGACGGTCCGAAGGCTTGGGAATCCAGCGGTGAATTCGGCCGTATTCAAAGATGCAAGACCACAATGCGAAAGATCAAGGTGTTTTAGATTCCTAAGATTTCGCAACCATGAAAAATCTTGCATGGATGTCAAATTTGAGTGAATTGAAAAGGAAGAAAGATGAGTGAAATTTCGAAATGCATTTTGGTCTATAGTTCGACTTAGTGGATCAGAAGATATGATGGACAACCGAGCGCAACTACCAGGACATCTGTTCAGAAGGTTATGGTTAATAGTAATGCTGTTCTGATCAAGATAGAGATGACAAATGCCATTGTAGTTCGAACACCACAACGATGCCGCACAAAAGTGCTGAGCCAATAGACTTATATTCAGAGCAAGGATCTAGCAACAGTTCATTACGAAAAAAAATTACCCCAATGAAATTATTCCATCCCATCACCAAAATCTGATAAAATGAAAACCCCCAGACTGAACCGCATCGAAATCCCGATAAGATAACGCAGAACCAAAAGAACCAATCAAGCTACGGACGTGTGCTTTCGTAAAACATTTTCCAAATTTTAACGCTTTAAACACAATATTTAGAAAAAACAAAATGTCAACTATGCACGAGTACTGCTTTAGTTACACTTTATCATTTTATTCCTCTGGTGGAAAAGCGTAATATATCATTTCAAGCGGTGTTTACAACCATTAAAGCGCAGAAAAATTAACGGATTTGTGCTATGGTTATGCCTACAGCTCCAAGAAATAACACAGAACACAGACATATTGTTTGGGAAAATCAAGGCTATTGGTGTGGACTAGAATTAACTCCAACCTGTAATAAAAAATAATGGTGTCCTTCAATACGCACATTCTATTTTCATACATGCTCTGTTGGTAGCAACGCAACACCTTTGATATTCGCCTGGGCCATCAACGCATGGGCTGGCCTTCGGGCCAAACCAAGGTCCAATATCTTCTCCTCCATTTAGAATGCATGTTTCATTCCAAACTAATTCCCGTAGCGACTCAAGACATCTCATCGAGGAGAAGAGG